GCGGGAGCACCGCCATGCTTCCCAAGCGGCGCACTTATCCAGTGCGCCACCGGGCCGGCCCTAAAGTGTTGGTTTTGACCCTCTAAGTCAGTGGTTCTCAACAGGGGATGATTTTGACTCCTAGGGGACATTTGGCAGTGTGTGATGACATTTTTGGTTGTTACAACTGGGGGTCCTATTAATGGATTCTAAAATGAATTTCCATATAATCCCACAATCCTACTTCTGGGTATACGCCCAAAGGAATTGAAATCAATATGTCAAAGGGATATTTTTATTCCCAATGTTCATTGCAGCATTATTCTCAATAGCTGAGATATGGAATCAACCTAAGTGTTCGTTGATGAATAAATGGATTTGAAATATGTAGTGGTATATGTACGCAGTGAAACACAATTCAACATTTTTTAAAAAAACAAGAAATTCTGTCATTAGAGACAATATGGATGAACCTAGAGGATATAATGATATAAGCCAGGCACAGAGAGACAAATACTGCATGATCTCACTCATATCTGAAATCTACAAGAGTCAAACTCAGAATTAGAGAGTAGAACGGTGGTTACCAGCAGGGGCGCAGGGAGGGGGAAGGTGGATGGAGAACGGAGAGACATTGATGGGCAGGTGCAAAGTTTCAGTTACATAGAAGGAATAAGTTACAGTGATCTATTGCACAGCAAAGTGACTATAGTTAATAATAATGTATTGTGTATCTCAAAATAACTAAAAGAGAGGATTTTAAACATTCTCACCACAAAGAAATGATAAATATTTGAGGTGACAGGTATGCTAATTAACCTGTTTGATCATTCCACAATGTAACATCACATTGTATCCCATAAATATATACAATTACTACATGTCAATTAAAAATAAAATAAAACTTAAAAAAATTAAGAGGAAGCAAAAGAAAAAGAAAAGGCTTCAAAGCTAGCTCCAAATGTCTGAGAAAAGGAAAAGAACCAATTTCAGAAGGAGGTTAAAATTACAGCTGGTATTGTTTTAAAAGAGAATAGCATAACATAGTAGAATAGCATAAAATAGGAAGAAACGTTGTCACTAAAATAAAACTAGTTTCTTGAGGCCTGGAAAACTCAAACATTGAGGAAAGAATGTTTTCGGGAAGAACATTTAGTGGAAGACATACTATTCTTCACTGCAGCCTAAGCTCTGGACTTTCACACAGCAGCTTTAG